GAGAAGTTGATGGGAGGGGAAAATAGCTGTGAGAGGGGGTCGTAACGAGGAAGAATGGTGGTGAGGAGACGGTGGTTGGGGGTCTTACTCAGTGAAAAATTAACAGAACACCAAGGTGTTTCCTGTGTGGAACTCACCTGAAATGCGTCTCACTGGGCTGAAGTAGTCGGAGAGTGCCACCTTTTGGAACGATTATGCCACATCTTAGGCCTTATTCGGCTTGAGAGGGGCATTTTGCGCTTTCACTATAGTTCATGCCAAGTAACACATGTAAAGCTGGTGACCTATGAACTTTTGTGAAGCTGCGAAATGGTACAAGTAAGCCATTTGATCACAAGATTATAAGAACTGACAGGCCTTCGCGTAGCTTGTGCAATACCGACTCTTGCCCACACATAGCCAAACTGCGCTCTTGCATGTTTCCTCTTGACTGACCACGTGTTTTCAAAGCTTCAGCATGGGGATATATTTATTCAGTGAGAGGACGCAGACATGACGTAGCCGCGCCGGCGCGCGTGCTCGCTCAACTTTCTTGCTCTCTACCTGCGCCTTTTTCACGGGCGGACTACCACTGAACGTTCCTAAATAAAGCGTGCTTCTGTTCTAAAACTGTAAAAAAAGATGTATCTATGAGGAGAGTGCAGTGGTAGGCCATGGTAGGTCAGGCTCCGCCCATACGACAAGCGCGGACTGTTACTTTGAACTCCTTCCTATCCCATTTATCCCTTCTCTATGAGACCCTGATTGACGTCCTTCATAGCAACACCTAAAACTATGAGGAGCCCAACAATGTACCGGTTAATTTGTCAAATTAACCATGAAAAACGCTTGTAATTAATCAACCGGTTGAGCGGCAAAGTGTTCCTTAATTCAGCGGATCGATCCGTGCCAAAAAACGAAGATCGACTTCAATCTCTACGTCGACGCGACCTTATCAGATTTGTCCCAGGGGACAAAAACCAGAACCGAACATCCTCGTTACAAAGTACAAGTCTAATACGTATTTTTACCCCTCTAAAACCTTAAATAAGATCAAGATAATCCAAATCTGTAATGGGGACCATAACATTTTATGAGCTTTACGGAGTTTACCACCAGAAAATCAGGTCACACGACTAGAGTAGCTCTAAATAACTCGTTCTCCTCTACTTGTTGGTTCATTAATTGGTCGCAGCTGTTGTGTATCCTCCCGATTAACACTACTATACGTTTCTCAGACAAGCAAGCATCCGCGAATGAGGTCCTCGAACGTGAATGTTGTTCCTCGAAACTATATGTTCTCTTTGGATCTTTTTCCGCTTTGGGAATGTTCTTTTATTCGCGTCATATTATCGGACGCAGCGTGGTTGTGTGGGTGGAGCTCTTCGGTACCGCCCGCCATTCCTAATTGTGCACATATTCACTACGATTCGACTTTCACTAAAAACATGTAGATGCACCGACGAGCGCCACAAAGGAGAACGTGCAATCAGTGACCGTTCAAGTGGGCGGAGCTCCCCACACCACTCACCTGCCATGTACGTGATCATTTACAGTGCTTTACTTGTTAATAACGAGTAGACACGAGGTCAGAAGAGTGGACCCCATCAGGTAACCCCGCTCTTTCCACCAGAACTTACCTGGACTCCTTAACGGTGTTCGCATTTAGTCTGTTGCACCTTTTGTGGTGCTTAGACAGTGGGCGGAACCAGACAGACCCGCCTACACCTTCATTCCCCTCGCAAACACTGGCCAGGTGGGTGTTTTACCAGAATGACTGGTCTGGGTCGAACCAGTATGATTAGTTCGAGTCAGACTTCGAAATACCGATTTCCTACATATATTCCAGACGATTCTCGCATCATCTTACCCGATGGAATGAAGTGTGGGTCAGGCGAGGCGCGCGGAGTAGTAGTATTTCCTAGCTAGTTGGCACGACATACGTGCTGTAGCAGTTCCACGGTTACATTAGTGGGGTCATGGTGCGAATGTCGCGCACGTGACATCTGGTGCCTCATCGTCGAAACGTAGACCAACACACGTTGGGATGGGAGGGACCAGCATCCACGGATGCGAGGGTTTCGTTGACCTGTGCGCATCAGTACGTCAATATTATGTAAGTGTAATGTGAGCAGCGCACGTTCAGTGGTGGATAATTCCTGCAAAATACGACCCACACTCTCCTCAGAATTGGCCTCTCTGTGACCCCACCCCCTCTTCCCCATGCCCCATCCTACCTAGCATCTTCCTTAATTTTTCCAACGTGTTCCCAGTTCTCTAGCAAGTTTTCTTTCCCACTATTTTCCAGACCAAAATCAAGGGCAAATACGACCCTCCCTCCTTCCTCCAGTGACCCAGTCCAACCTCCTCGCTGGGGATCCCCAAGGTACGACGCGGCCCCAGCACTACTTCCGTCCTTCTCAGAAATGCCGGGGTTGCGCGCGCTAGAATTAATCCTGGATTTCTCTGTCAGTCCCCAAATCCCCTACCCATCTGTTCAGCCTGTTCTCAGAGACCAGCCTTCGCTTTTGACTTGCACTCGTGGATTTGCAGGCGATCTTGTCATTAGCGCCTGTCTCATGTTCACTCTGCAATATGTGCTTTCAATAGGCAATTGAAAAACTGAGGACAATAGCCAGCGGCCTGTGTAAAAAGCGCCTTGGACAGCTGCCGCCTTGGCGATGGGCGGCCAAAGCCGTTCAGCGAACGGCAAGAGAACACCTGGTTGACTGCTCGGCTCTTTTCGCCGCCATGCTCTATGCCATTCTGGACGGCTGTTGGTCCCAGAAATTATGCATTGCTTTCGTTTCTCTATCTTTTACGCTGTCCGTTTTTAGCTCTTTTTCGCGTGTTGAACTGTGTCAATTGGGGCGTTATCGTGAACATCGATCTTCACGCCTATCTACATTCATTTTTCTCTTTAGCAAAGCACACACCTATACGGACACGGACAGGACTTGGGCTATGTTGTTGCCACGAATCGTCTTCTTTTGCTGAAACCGTACGCATTTCTGCCCGTCTCAAACAGATGACCCGCCGTTCATCAACGACTGGTTCATGATCGCCTCTCTGCTTGTCGTCCTCGCCGCTGTCGTCGCCGTCTTCACAGCGCTGCCACCTCCTTCCTCTTCTCCACCGTTCTTCGACTTCTCAAATGGTGAGTGTTCGTGTCCTTTACGTCCTTCCTTGGGGAAACATTAGCAAACTACGACCCATTCTACCTACCACTTCCGGCATGCCATTTTGAAAAATCGCCTGGTTGCCCAACCAGCTGATACGACCCTCCGTCCCCATCCTGCCTACCATTTTCCTAGATTTTCCCAACTTCCTACCACTTTTTCCAGTTTTTCCGGCATTTCCCGAAAAATTTCTAGTTTTTCCCCAAAATTTTGCTGTCGAGCGGGAGGGGGGGTTGGGGTCGTCAGGAACTAAGAACTATCGGAAATAGTAGCTGTAGTAGTTATATAAATCTTTGGCGCCGCCACCAACCTAGGCGGAGGTAGGGGGGTACATAACACAAGTGAAACGGGGAACGGAATTCCTCACAAATACGCCTCCCTACCCTCCCGACGGCTAGCATATACGATCCCCCCCCCTTTACAGCGTCCGTGTAACAATAGAAATCAAATATCGAAGAAAATTTGTCTCTGACCAAATATGACCCCTCCCTTCGCGGTCAAAATACGACCCCCTCTTTGTTTGCTGATTATCACGCCCTGCTGCCCACGCACCTCCAGGAACAAAGTGTGCATACCTCACTCCCCCCCTTCTGCTGTTCGATAGTTTTTGTTCTTCGGCTGCATCGCGAACGAAGAGACTGCCAGCGAACTCCAACCGGACTTAAGTGGCTAGCATCATCACTAAAACGAACTTTCGCCAAGCGATCTGCAAGCAGGATCCTTGGTTTTTTGGGTGGGCTCAGTATGGAACACACCAGAACCGCTAAATCACTCGATGGCAGCTTTAGACCAGAAATGACACGCGAACAATTTTTGGCAAATACGAGTTTTTTTTTTGGGGGGGGGGGCATGCTTGCCACTTACTCTAATTACTTCGCTAATTCCTGCTTTATAAGTCACTGGTGACCTATTTACCCTTGTAAGCCCCATGAAACAGCTTTCTAGATGGCTCGACACGTCTATGGGAATATCAAAAATGAAAAATGCCCCACCCCCGTCGCCGAACTGCCCCACATAACGTTCTTCGATTATAACATACTGCGGAAATCTGCACGGTTTTTGAAACTAAAGAATTTTGTCTTCCTGACAAATGCAACTGTTTTACCCCAGCTTTACTATAGCAAAAGAATACAACCGCGTCGCGGATTGTTATATTCCGTAAAATGTGTTTCAACTGCACTAGGACGGTCCTCCTATTATCCAGCCCTCATACCACCCGCGAAAATCTTTGAAGGCCATTCTAGTACCCATCTTCTACCCGATTTAAGTAGGTACTGAGGTACAAAGACGCTGATATACTTTTCTATGGAATGCGCCACGCACTCGACTTTGATTCAGAAGTCGATCATTTTCAATGGATTAATTTGTCATAAATCTCCAAATAGACGAGAATAGTGCGCTTTCACGGTCTGAGGTCTTGATTCCCAGTGGCGGTCTTCCGAAGAAGTTGATCTTTTCATTTTTGATACCAGCAGATGCGACCTTACTTTTAACCAGCAGATCACATACGACCCATACGTCGCGGCGGATTCCGCGACAGCTTGACCCTGCAACCTACCGCCCATCTTCCTAATTCCTAACAACATCAGCTAACCCAAGAACCTACAAATTCTTACTGCTGACAGTACACTCTATATTCACAATTTTACAGCAACGGGACGACTACGATTTGCCAACGATGACTCGCTGGTATTATTGCACAACTATGGTCCGTATGTCCTGCTCGGCGGAAGGTGATTTCGTTCAACAAAATTAGATTTTTTTGTAATCTTTAAGAACTATGGGTGGGCAAGATTCCCGTTGTGGTGAAAACATGAAAGTGGTACTTCGAGTAGCGTGGGCTTCTGAGGTGTTCGCGAGAGGACCTAATTGATTCAGTGTTGAAACGCTACGCTAGCTATGAAATACCATTTGATTTCTGCGCAGTGCCAAAACATGAATTTCCTTGCCCGCACCAGAGAGCTACGGTAGGCGTGTGGGTGTTACTACTAATCATAGGCGCGTGGGAGTTCCCACCTGATCAAACCCGTGGAATTTCACTCTTAGTGGAATAAGAATAAGATAAGAAGGAAAATCACAGCCGACATCTGGAGAACCGTTCAGGTGCTTCAATGTGTGGACGTCCTTCGTTTTCCGAATTCCGATTTCCGAAACACTTATATAATGGTAGTGGGCAAAGCACTTTTATAACGCGTTCTGTGAATGTGCCATGGTCAGAACAAGGCCCATTTTCCGATAAAATCTTTTTTCGTCCTCCGAGTTCTGACAAGTCCGAACAA